TGTTTTATCTCTTGATGAGAGTATATCTAACAAATCAAATGTCTTTGTTCTTCCTGGTGAGACATTCTGATTGATTTAAAGGCTATTTCTGACGAAGCAATCCACTCTCTGAGGTGTACGGATGAAGAGATAATGAAAATGACCTGCTGAGATGAGGAGGCCTAATTTTTCATCTTCATTTTTTGTAAGCAAGTGACATTAAGATAAAAACAACAACAATTAAAATTACAACCCTGGATGCTGATTGCCAATACAGTATTTATTGTGAAAAAAATACACTGACAACGTCTGAAAGAATGTGCATTTGAAGACATTTTTTTTCCCTTTTTAGAATTTATTATTATTATTATTATTATTAAATGAATATTGTTTTAAGCAGCAAACCCCCTGACTTCGGGTCAATGGGTTTGGAAGTGAAAAAAAAAAATGTGAACTGATTTCCGGGTTTTGTACTCGTTCCTGCAGCACTCGATTAAGAGATAGTAGCTAACCGTTGTATAACGTTGTAGCTGACGGACATGGTGCAGGACCTTCTCTTACACGCAGCACCTCAGCGTCCAGCAGCTGTCTCTATCTCACAAGGCACTCATCTAAATTTAGAATAAGAGGGAACTCACTCAGCTGTAAGGAATCTCTCAGCTCAAGCACAAACACCCTCACGTCATCTATCCGTTCTCAGCTGTAACGCCAGTCATCCATCTGCCCTTACTGGAAGAATTATAAAAGGATACTGTATTCAGTATGAACAACTGTAGACAGGTGCGAATGAAAAAAAAAACTCAATATAAAAATTCATTCTCTGAATAAAAATGCCATGTTTTATCTCTTGATGAGAGTATATCTAACAAATCAAATGTCTTTGTTCTTCCTGGTGAGACATTCTGATTGATTTAAAGGCTATTTCTGACGAAGCAATCCACTCTCTGAGGTGTACGGATGAAGAGATAATGAAAATGACCTGCTGAGATGAGGAGGCCTAATTTTTCATCTTCATTTTTTGTAAGCAAGTGACATTAAGATAAAAACAACAACAATTAAAATTACAACCCTGGATGCTGATTGCCAATACAGTATTTATTGTGAAAAAAATACACTGACAACGTCTGAAAGAATGTGCATTTGAAGACATTTTTTTTCCCTTTTTAGAATTTATTATTATTATTATTATTATTAAATGAATATACTGTAAGTCCTATTATGTTACATGTTTAAAACAATATATTTTTGATCTTTATCTTAAAAAAAAAAAATCAAGCAATATGTGCCAAAAGTAAGTTAATTTGTATATCTTATAAATTTACATAGTTTTCACATCGAAAAAGCCAAAGCATCAATGTTTGCGTGTGACCAAGCAATACACAGAATGGAACAGAGTATGTGAGTGAAGATGGGACAGCAATTTCTTCACTTCAATGATCACTCCAGGTTTTCCAGCTCCACTCTGGGTTTCCCATTTTATGTTCCCTACTTGTGCAGCAAACTTCCACTACAAAGGATCCTGAAGCAAGTGAAAAAGCAAATGCTCCAATTTAAAAAAAAAATTTTTTTTAATTAAATTACATTTTATTTAATTTAATTTAATTTTATTTTATTTTTTATAATGCTGGATGGACAGTCAGAATCAGTGTTGTTATTTTTAACCTAAACTTCCACCATTTAAAATCATTTTCGTTAACTGAAATAAAAAGAAATGTTATAATTAAACATATAATTATAATACCTATAATTGCTTTATTATTATATAGAATTAGCTATTCAATAAATGTATAATCACTCTACTACAATTCGGATTTTTTTCTGGATAAACAATTGAGCGTTTGAGCATTTCAAGTATATGCATGCACTTACTCAATGCTGGGTGGCAAACTGGTTTCCTAAAATAATTACAAGCGTTTTGATACTATCAGTCACTTTCTATAACAAACAGTGGCACGCACATTCAACATCTGCTTTAGAGTATGAGAGCATACAAAAGGTCTTTTTAAATTTCCATTTCCACTTGAATATTTAATGTCTCATTTGTATTTCAACAAAAGAGCCACTTATAGGCAATCCATTCAATCCTGCCATTCATATGAAGACTCTTAACAGCAGCTACAGTAACATTCACTCTTATTAAAATGAATCATTTGTAACCCTGCAGAAAAAATTGGTCTTGAATTCTCGGGTTCATTTCATACGGTATGTGTTCCTTAGACATTTGTGGATTCATCTAAAATTGTCTATGCAAGGGTTTTATGGTTGTATTGATGTTCACCCTAGTTGTTTGCCAATTAGTGAAGTGACATGTGGCCAAGTATGGTTACCCATACTATAATTTAGTGCTCTGCGTTTAACCCATCCAAAGTGCACACACACAGCAGTGAACACACACACTCCGTGAACACACACCCGGAGCAGTGGGCAGCCATTTATGCTGCGGCGCCCGGGGAGCAGTTGGGGGTTCGGTGCCTTGCTCAAGGGCACCTCAGTCGTGGTATTGAAGGTGGGAGAGAGTGCTGTACATTCACTCCCCCC